AATCAAAAATTTAAAATAAAAAACAATGGCATAAAATTATAAAGAAACCTTTTTGCTTATAAAAAAAAATATAATAATAAATCCAATTACATGAAAAGAGGTTTATAGCAAAATTTAATGGCTGATTTACCTAGTCACTTTATAGTTTTAGAAGAAGAAAAAACCCTAGCAATAGCACGAAGCTTAATTTAGACCTAACTCTATTTAAATTTGTAGAAACAACGTTGAAGTTAGTGAATAATGATTTTCTGCAAATCGTTTCACCGAATTGGGGAAGAAGACAAGATGTGCAGCTACTCATTAATGGCGCCCACCCCTCACCACCGCCTATATATACCCCTCCCTCCTTCTCCATGGACTCTTACAGCAGCAGCAGCAGCAACGAGCGACTGCAACGAATTCTATCTAATTTCCCCTCCATCAAGCTCGTCCTGAATCACTACAATGGCCGACAGCCCCAGCAACTCACGGAGGAAGGAGGAGGATGAGACCATGGATCTCACCCTCCGCCTGGGAATGCCAAACCAGGCTGAACCGGCGGAGGAGAATAAGCCCGACGAGACGTCGGGCACCGCCGCCGATGAGCCACCGTCACCGCCGCCGCCGCCGCCGCCGCTGCCGATTCTCTACAATATTTTCAATAATGAGCAAGGGCATACACCGGCGACCGCCTCCGGGAACGTAAGAGTTTGCACGTGTGATGCACCTGCGCTGATACGTGAAGATTTCGTGTTTGTTTGTGTTTTTTTTTTTGATAAATTTGTATTTTTGGGTGAAAATTAGGTCACTTTCGGCCAACAGTTCTGGCAACCGCACGGAGGCGCGGTGGCAGTTTCCGGTGGAGTCGCCATCGGGCCAGCGGCGGCAATAATTCCGGTAGTAGCGGTGCCGTTCCCGCAGGGGTTCGTCCCCGTCTACAAGAGCCCCCGCAAGCGGCCGAATCCCGGCGGCGAGGCCGGAAATGAGAACCGCGTCTGCGAGAACTGTGGGACCCGCAGAACCCCTCTGTGGCGGAACGGTCCGGAAGGACAGGTAATCAGATCTGCTTCAATTTTCCGATTTAGGGTTTAGTTGCCGGAATTAGGGTTTCCGATTCGGTTAATTGATTTCTGGTCGATTTTGTGTACAGGACCTCTGCAACGCTTGCGGTCTCCGCTCGTCCCGCGCCAGCCGGAAGAAATAACGAAGCGGCGGCGGGTGTACGGATCTCCTCCGCTGGGGACTGCAGCCGGGACTGGCCGCCGGGATTTTTCTTTTCTTTTCTTTTTTTTAAATGTAATTAAATCGATTGTATTTTCGTTGTTGCAAATAAAAATTTAAAATTATATGGATCTGTTGTGTATAACATGGTAATTCTTGGATATATTCAAATTTGAGAATTTTCAATACTACTAATGTAGCACATTTAATTAAATCAGTTAATCTCAATAATCAATAGTCATTTTTATAAATAAAATAGATAGCAATATATTTTTCTGAGTTTTAATTGATTCAGTAACAAATATATATATATATATATATACTTTGGCATAGATGTTTATTGAATTCTTTTTCAATTTTTTAATTAGATACAAAAGTAATACTTTGGAGTTTTTTTAAAGAAATTAAGAAATTATAAATTTGTTTTCAAGTTTTTTTCTTTTTTCTTTTTAATGTAAATAGATCTTTAAAATTTCAACAGGTAACAAATTAATTAATATTATTTTTCTCTAAAATTGTTATTTACTAAAAATGAACCACAAAAAATTAATAAATTTTATAATATTGAACTAAAATAGTATTGTCGTAGCAATTAACTGCCGTCATAATAATTATGATGTTGATCAGGAATTTTGAAAAATAGAAAGTAAAGAATGAACGGTTGCGGAAAATCCGAAAAAGTAAAATACGACAGTATAAGAACAAATTTTTTAAATAGCTATCAATGTCAATGGTTTAGACATATACTGTATTCAATACTAATATATTTTAATGGAATTCTTTCCAGGTATTTGTTAAACATTAAATGTTAATAAATGAGATTAATTTAACTTTATTACAACATCGGAACTAATAAATATATCATATACCAACAAAATATAATCATGTCGTTAAACAAGAATTGTTGATTACAAATATAAAGTACGATATGAAGTTTAAAGAAAAGAACAACAATTTAGAGTTAAAATATTTAAAGTCATACTGTCTATTATAATTATAACTCAAAAATATGTTTTTTTTTTTTTTTTTTATCTATTGTAAATAAAATTGTGGGTCAAATCATGATAAAACGGGCAGACGTTAAATCCTTTAATTTAAATCGATATGTTTTCTTAGGTAGATATGTATTAATTTCTTGCAAATATATTATTTGGAATGTTTGTTTTAGTACAGTTTTGTGGTTTGCCTATGTATATTATATAGTGACTTAGATATACTCCATCCGTCCCATTGAAAGGTTATCATTTTTTATTTTCGTTCGTCCCAAAACAAGGTTATTATTTTCTAATTTAGTAATTGTACTATCTATTTAACATAATAAATACCCTTTCAACTTACAAAATATTACACAAATGTTATTACTTTTATATTACACCATACTAATAGGGATTTTTTATTTTTTATTTTTATCTTTTTTATTACAATATAATATAATACTAATATTAAAAAATCTACGTGCAAAAAGCAAATGCCACCCTTCCAACGGGACGAAAAGAGTATTATTTTTTGTGTAAAGAAAATAACATATTCTTATAGTCATTGTAGGAATTAAAAAGGTTCCCCAAGTTCAGATTTATTTATCTATTCTACCCTTTATTATATGATTTTAAATTTATAATTAAAAATATTAAATCATGGATTGTGCCATAATTATATTGTAATATTACTATTATTTTTTATATGAGCAAAATGATTCCTATGTTGAGGGTTTTAACCCATTTTAACAAATTCAATAAAAGCATATCTTAAACTTTTTCTTAGATAATTACTGTCGATCAGAAATTTTATTAATGGATTGGACCATGAAAATATTTATATTATCAATATATACAAAATAATAATAATATAATAATAATAATAATAATAACTTGATCAATTGTGTTTGAGGAAAACTGATCACTTCAAATGATACGCAAGTATGCAACAATATTAATGAATAAATAAGTAATCACTATAAAAAAATAATATATTTGTAACGGAATTCTGTTCCAAAAGTTCACGTAGCTAACGTAATTCCATTCCTAATTCCGTCTCTAATGTCGTTAGTAATGGAAAAAGTAAATTTAGAGACAAAAAAATTTTGTTTAAAAAATAATTTTTTGTTGTAGTGAATGGACTGAACAACTCTGCCTATATGTCACTCATCAATAGTTCGTTAATGATATTCAGTTGTGATACATATCATAATATAAAAATATATACATAATTTTAAATTTTATTTTTTTAGATAAATTTAGTCAAATGAGGTTATATTTGAAACTAACTGATTTTACCAAACCACTCAACGCAATTCATGCTTTACAATTCATTAATGTTCTGTTGTTACTGTAACAACTGTTTTAATTATGTCAACCAGCAGTTGTTATTGGTCTAAAGTTGTTTGTTTGTTTTTTTTTTTTATATTTTAATTTATTTTAGTTTTTTTTTTTTTCGAAAATAGTAGAAAAAAGTTATTAGAATAGGTATTTTTTTAAGCAATATTTTTTAAAAGAATATATCCGTTGGATATGAGATTTTAATATATTTATAGTTTGTTATTTTTTTTTCTCTCAATATACCTAAGTTTAAATATGAATTTTTAAAGGCAAACATTCTAGTTTCTACCATTTAAACACAAACTAAGGGTGTGTTTATTTTGTGTTTTGGTTTGGAGGAATACTTTTTTAATGTGAGGTATAAAGAATTCTGTAAATAATATAAAAATAATAAATATGTGTAATATATTAATTTTTTTGGAAAAATATGCATAAAAAATTTGTGTAACAGATTACATCCATTAAAACCAATCACAATGTACACATATAAATTTGCAATGCATGTTTCATAACATATTAGTTTAATTAATATTATAACAAGATATGTGGTTTTTTTGTATTTTAGTTTGAAGGAAAATTATTTTATATGAGGTCTAATGACTTTTATAGGTAATATATATATAATGAGTGTGTAATATATTATATTTTTGAAAAAATACATTGGAAAATTTTTCACGAACAAAACTAACCCTTAATTTTTCACTAAAAAATTTAAATATATAAATAAAATATCTTAGATCCAATTTTCTTTTGGCATATACTAATTTTGAATATGACATATAATCAGATTGATCATATATATATACTATAGATATCATTTACATTCAATTATTGGGATTGTTTAAATTCGATCAATTATAGCATTGAGATCATCTAAATTCGACCGACATTAATTTAATGCGAAACATCCAAAATCGAGAACATACATTATGCACCGTACCCGATTATATTTGAGATAAAATTGCACGTAAATTAAAAAAAATTGCATGATTCGTCCAATCGAGATAACTTTATTTTTCTTCTTTGTATCGAATCAAAAATTTATAATAAAAAACAATGGCATAAAATTATAAAGAAACCTTTTTGCTTATAAAAAAAATATAATAATAAATCCAATTACATGAAAAGAGGTTTATAGCAAAATTTAATGGCGGATTTACCTAGTCACTTTATAGTTTTAGAAGAAGAAAAAACCCTAGCAATAGCACGAAGCTTAATTTAGACCTAACTCTAGTCTGCAACCAAAAATTAAATTTGTAGAAACAACGTTGAAGTTAGTGAAAAATAATTTTCTGCAAATCGTTTCACCGAATTGGGGAAGAAGACAAGATGTGCAGCTACTCTTTAATGGCGCCCACCCCTCACCACCGCCTATATATACCCCTCCCTCCTTCTCCATGGACTCTTACAGCAGCAGCAGCAACGAGCGACTGCAACGAATTCTATATAATTTCCCCTCCATCAAGCTCGTCCTGAATCACTACAATGGCCGCCAGCCCCAGCAACTCACGGAGGAAGGAGGAGGATGAGACCATGGATCTCACCCTCCGCCTGGGAATGCCAAACCAGGCTGAACCGGCGGAGGAGAATAAGCCCGACGAGACGTCGACCACCGCCGCCGATCAGCCACCGTCACCGCCGCCGCCGCCGCCGCCGATTATCTACAGTTTTTTCAATAAAGAGCAAGGGCATACACCGGCGTCCGCCTCCGGGAACGTAAGACTTTGCACGTGTGATGCACCTGCGCTGATACGTGAAGATTTCGTGTTTGTTTGTGTTTTTTTTGATAAATTTGTATTTTGGGTGAAAATTAGGACAATTTCGGCCAGCAGTTCTGGCAACCGCACGGAGGGGCGGTTGCAGTTGCCGGTGGAGTCGCCATCGGGCCGGCGGCGGCAATAATACCTGTGGTGGCGGTGCCGTTCCCGCAGGGGTTCGTCCCCGTCTACAGGAGCCCCCGCAAGCGGCCGAATTCTGGCGGCGAGGCCGGAAATGAGAAACGCGTCTGCGGGAATTGTGGAACTCGCAGAACCCCGTTGTGGCGGAGCGGTCCGGAAGGACAGGTAATCAGATCTGCTTCAATTTTCCGATTTAGGGTTTAGTCGCCGGAATTAGGGTTTTGATCGCTGGAATTAGGGTTTCCGATTTGGTTAATATTTTTCTGGTCGATTTTGTGTACAGGACTTCTGCAACGCATGCGGTCTCCGCACGTCCCGCGCCAACCGAAAGAACTGACGGAGCGGCGGAGAGCGACGGCGACTGTGGCGGGTGAACGGATGAATTATTACTGGCCGCCGGGATTATTAGAATTATTATTGTAATTCTAATTGTAATTAAATCAATGGTTTTCTTGATTGATCATTTGTAAATTAAAATTTAAAATTATCCCAATTTGTTGTTTTTTATACAAAACTCAAAATTTAACATTGCAATTTTTCGATATATTGAAATAGCGTATGGATACAAGTTATGTCTTCGAATAAAGACAATTTCGAGATCATGTCTTCTTAGGACTATTCTAGATGTACAATTTGAGAATTTTTTATAGTACTTAGTGTAAGACATTCTCATTAAATCAGTTCTATGATCAAAATCATTTTTAAAAAAATTCTGAAAAAAATATATAGCAAAATAATTTTGTGGGTTTATAGTACTGAACTAATTAAATAGTATATCGTAGCAGTTAAATACCAATAAATAATAATCATGATAATGCTTAGGAATTTTCAAATATAGAAAGTAAAGAATGAACCATTGCGAAATATATGGAATGGAAAAGTAGGACAGTATGTGTACAAATCTTTGAAGAAGTAAAGATTAATTAACTTTATTACAACGTCAAAATTAATAAATATGTTCGGTGCCAATAAAATATAATCCTATCTTAATCAAGATTGGATGATTACAAATATAAAGTACGATATGTAAGTTCAAGGAGAAAAACAACAATGTAGAGTTAAAATATATTGTCGATTATAATTATAATTCATAAATATATTTTATTATCTATTGTAAATACAAATATACTATTACATATATATATATATACAACTACTTTATACATAAAGTCAAAGGCAAAATATAAAAATCTATTAAACATTTCCGCTAACCAATAAAATATTATTATTGTTTAATCTATTATAAAACTCCAAAAGACCTCTTTGATAAGGGATAGGGGGTATGTATTTTCTCAAACACACAAAAAAACGAATATCGATTTAAACAAAAAATTGACAGTTCATTTCATAATTCAAAAATACGTTGAAATTGTAATAGAACACTAAAAAATAAACTAAGAGGGTAATTTTGTCACCTAAAGTTTAGAAACTAGTTCCATCACTGCTTATAGCTAGTAAATCGATGAATGAATATTAATGAATTTTTTTTTAAAAAAAAGAAAGAAAACTAAATTATGCATTATATATTGTAAATAATATGAGTCCCAGTTAAAAACTTTAATTGATGTATTGGACCATTATTCTATTTTAATATTACTACTATTTTTAATATGAACAAAATGATACATATGCCAGGGTCTTAACCCATTTTAATTATTTTAATAGAAAACATATCTTGTTTTTTTTCATAAATAATTATTCCAATCAGAAATCATATTAATGGATTGGATAATAAAAATATTTATAATGTCAATATGTACATGATAATAATAATAATAATTTATATATATACTATTCATCAATGTATCGAGGAAAACCGATAAGCTTAGATGATAGGTACATACGCAACAACATAAATAAATAATCAATTAATGGCCTCCCAACGCTCCATGTCTCTTGTCAGACACCAAATAATTCATTACGATATTCAGTTGTGATGTTTATTAGTATACATAAATAAATAATTTCAAAATTTTACTTTTATTAATTAGTTTAGTCAACAAAGTATCTAAAACTAACTTATTTCACCAAACAACTAAATGGAATTTATGGGTTACAATTTATTAATGTTCTATTGTTACACCTAACCGGTTGTTTTCTCAAAAATAGTAAAAAATTTTTATTAGAATAAGTATAATTTATTTATGAAATATTTTTTTTTTTTAAAAAAAATATATTCATTGGATATGAATTTTTATTAGAATAAGTATAATTTTTTTTTAAATATGAGGTATAAAACCCTTTTTTTTCTTTAAAAATTGAAATATATATATAAAAAAGTACCTTAGATCGATGTTATTTTTTTGACACATACTTATTTTGAATATGACATATAATCAGATCGATCATATATATTTACTATTGAGATCATTTTCGCTCGATTATTTATACCTCGGGATCTTTTAAATTCGATGAATTATAGCATTAAATACGTCGGACATTAATTTAATGCGAAACATCCAAAATTAAGAGTGCACCGTACAAGATTATATTTGCGGGTATAAATGCACGTAAATTAAAAATCTGCACAATTTGTCCAAACGAGATAACTTTCATTTTCTTTTCTTTGTGTCGAATAAAGTATTTAAAATCAAAAAGCAATTGCATAAAATTATAAAGAAACCCTTTTTCTTGTAAGAAAATAAATAAATTGAACAGCATTAAAGTTTGTTATTAATGATTAATTTTATCGAATTTTCTGCAAATCATTTCACTGAATTGGGAAAGAAGACAAGATGTACAGCTACTCTTTAATGGCCCCCACCCCTTACCACCGCCTATATAAACCCCTCCCTCATTCTCCATTGACTTCCTCACAGCAACGAGTCCCCCTCGATCAAGTTATTCGTGAAGCAGCCGACAATGGATCTCACCCTCCGTCTGGGAACGCCTAACAGACGTCGGGCACCGGTGCTGATAAGCCACCGCCGCCGTCGACGTCGCCGCCGCCGATGTCGTCGCCGTCGCCGTCGCCGTCGCCGCCGATTATGTACAACTTTTTCAGTAAAGAGCAAGGGCATCCACCGGCGTCCGCCTCCGGGAACGTAAGAGTTTGCAGCACGTGTGCTGATACTTACAGATTTCGTACTTGTTTGTGTTTATATATGTATACATATAATTTGATAAATTTTTGTCTGGGGTGAAAATTAGGGCAACTTCCACCAACAGTTCTGGCAGTTGGCGGAGGAGTCGCTGTCGGGCCGGCAGCGATAATACCGGTGGTGGCAGTGCCGTTCCCGAATTACGGTTCGTCCCCTTCTATGTTTATTAAAAAGGAATTTTAATTTACTTTTTGTTAGAACTATTTCTGTTTATATTTTGAATTATTATTATATTTTACAGAACAACGAAGGTGCAATCCATCCAATAAAAAAAAGAATTTTATTGGATTTAAATCGAATCCCTGAAGAAGAGTGAGTTTTAGTTTCAATAATTATATCGATTTATCTCACACTTTGCCATAAACATATATGCATTCCGTATATTACAATTAGGGTTATAAATTTTCTGTACATGAAATCTTGAAAATCTATATTAGATTTGTTCTATCCCTCAATGGTAACCATATACAGTAATAATATATATATAATTCATAGTCTATATATATATATATATTGTGACCTTTAATTTATTGATATGTCTACAGAGTGATGAACGGGAAGACTATAGAACCCGAAGAAGCCGAAAAGCATGTAAACTAGAGAAACCGGAAGAGATAGAAGATGATGAAAAGGGTAAGAAAGATAGAAGATGATGAAAAGGGTAAGAAAGATAGAAGACAATGAAAATGGTAAAAAAGTAGGGTGTGTTTGTTTAGTGAAATTATTTGAAAAAATATTTTTTTATGTGATATATAAAGAATTGTGTAATAATATAAAAATAACGAGCATGTGTAATAGATTACTTTTTTTTTTTTTTTGAGAAATGAACTTTTTGAAATGGGTGAAAAAACGAACCCGTAATGCTTACCGACAAAGAAATCAGCAGTAAGAATGGAAGGAGAAAAGTAACGCGAGAAAAGAAACGCAAGAAACGTCGTTGCTCAAAGATCAATATGGCATGAAGTTTGATAATTTTATTTGTGTATCAAATATTGTCTTAATTAAGTCAATCAGTGGAATTGTTATTGATATGAAGTTGATTGTTTGTTTGTTTGTTTTTAACATTTTAATTTATTTTAGGTTGTTTATTCGGAAATAGTAAAAAAGTTATTTAAAATAAGTATATTTTATTTAAGCAATATTTTTTAAAAAAAATATACCCGTTGGATATGAGTTTCTAATATATTTATAGTTTTTTTTTTTTTTTTCTCAATTTGCCTAAGTCTAAATTTAAATTTTTAAAGGCAAACATTTTTGTTTCTAACCGTTTATATACAAACTAATTCAATTAGAACCAATCATAATGTACATATATATAAATTTTCATTAACATATTAATTTAATTAATATTAAATTTATTATTGTAAATAAAATTGTGGATGAATTTATATTAAAACGGAACAAAGTTAAAATCTTCAATTTAACTTTATGGTGAACTTGATAGAGGATTACGACATGAAGTCCGCAAAAATATATATATATATCTATAGCGTTACAATATTGAAATTCATATTATAGATTATTATTATAACTCACAAATTTATTTTCTTAACTACTGTAAATAGAATTGTATGCCAATTCATTTTAAAGCGGGCCAAAATTAAATCCCTCGATTTAACTCAACGATGGGGTTAATAGAGGGTTACAACGCAAAGTCCGAAGAAAACAATAATAATATAGAGTTAAAACTTAAAATATTGAAAATCATATTGTAAATTATCATTATAACTTACAAATATGTTTTTCTTATATATTCTAAATAGAATTGTGGATCAATTCACATTGAAGCGGACCAAAATTAAATCCCTCAATTTAACTCATTGATGGGCTTGATGGAAAGTTAAGACATGAAGTCCGAAAAAAGAACATTATAAAAAATTAACATATTGAAAATCATTGTAGATTATAATATAGCTCACAAATATCTTTTCTTATCTCTTATAAATAGAATTTTGAATCAATTCATATTAAAGCTTTAGTAATTATTTTATCAAAATATAAAATAAAAGGGAAATTTATAGTTGATTCCCTCGTATGTTTAATACATTAGTATTCAATCCCTATATGAAAATAGATTGGTCTCTATTTTTTACTTTTCTATTTGGATTTGCATATCTTCTCGAATGATATTTTTATCAATAACCTAATGTATAGATATTATAAGACATGGAATACTCTGATATTACACACACATATATATATATATACCCAAATAAGTACTCTATCCGTCCGCCTCTAAGGGTCATATTTATCTTTTGTGTTGTTGTATTTAAAAGTAAATATATTCTTATATTTGTATAATGTTTTGTACAAATTTCCTTCTAATAGTATTATAAGGTACTAATGGTGTTGAATATTGTCTCACATTGCTAAATAAGGGTGAAAGACCTCTCCACCTATCACCAATTGATTTTAGGTTGGATGCCCGGATCCCTTCTTAACATGGTATTAGAGTCATGGTGCCCGTATTTTGATTGAGATCCTGTATGAATTTTCGAGATTCGGATTCTGTATGAATTTTCGAGATTATCATCTCCAGGGGGTAGTGTTGAATATTGTCCCACATTACTAAATGTGTGGGAACTCCCCTATTATATAAATGTGAAGGCCTCTTACTAGGATCTCTTTTTAACAAATGAAAGTATTTTTGTAAATTTTTTTAATTTATAGTACGTTTTGATATAATAATTAATATTCAAATATCAATACGAAAAAATAAATGAGACCCTTAAAACCGGACGAAGATAGTATTATATATGCACAAAACATATTCTACTCTACCATATATATTTCATATAATATATGTAGGTACTTTTATGATCATTTTAATAAAAACTTAAAAATAAACATACTATCCACTATTTAAAATTATCAAACAACTTCCTACGCGGTACTATCCCTATTCTACCCATTTTCCCTCCCTCTCTCCTCCGTCCAAAAGAAAAACTCCTTGTTATACAATTTTTTTGTACTTGTTCCGTCTCCGAAATTCTAAACTCTTTTGGCAATTTTTTATGACAATATTGGAAAAAAAAAAAAAATTGACTCCAAATAAATGTTTCAAGTAGTAAACAAGTTTATAGTTGTTTTTTTTATTATTATTAATATAAATATTTACCTGATTTTCTCTTGTAGGTAATGTAAATCTTTTCCTTTGCAATAGTTGGATCATGAAAATTTTATGTGTTATATTGTTCATTTTTATGTTTTTATATTTGCGGCTTATCTATTGTGGTAAAATATGTTTTTAGAGGAATTTTTTTAATGAATTTTATGTGTAAAGTAACGAGATTGTTATTTAGGTAGAATATAATTTATTATACCTTACTCGATTGTCAAAAATTGATTTTTAACTTTTTTAAGATTAAGATTATGGAATATTTGAAGCAAATGACCTTAGGTAGATATTTATTGATTTCTTGTAAATATATTATTGTGAATGTTTATTTTAGTACAATCTTGTAGTTTGCCTATATAATTAGCTATTGACGGAACTAAAAAGATTTTCATAAATAAATAATGATGTACCCAACCATTTTATATGCGACAGTAATAATAAATAAATAACGGCCTACTCAACACTCTCTATATTAATTGTGTTAGCCATCATAAATAAATAACCGTCTAGCCAACGCTCTACCATCTAGCCAACGCTCTATGCATGGGACAATATTAATTAATTAATAAATAATGGTCTACTCCACGTTCTTTGTATTAATTATGCCAGTCATCATAAATAAATAACCGTCTAGCCAACTCTCTGTGTATGCGACAGTATTAATTAATTAATAAATAACAGCCAAGCCAACGTTCTCTGTATTTGTATCGGTCATCGTAAATAAATAACTGACTAGCCAACGCTCTCTATATTTGTGTCGGTCACCATTAATAAATAACGGCAGCCAACACTCTCTGTATGTGACAATATTAATAAATAAATAAATAACGGCCAAGCCAACGCTCTCTGTATTTATATCAATCATCGTAAATAAATAACTGATTAGCCAACGTTCTGTATTTGTCGGTCACCATAAATTAATAATGGCCTTCCTAACGCTCTTTGTATCCGTTTCAGTCACCAAACAAATTATTAGTGAAAAAATAATTTATTTAATGGCGTGCACCCCTTAGCTTACCACCGCCTATATAAACCCCTCCCTCCTTCTCCATGGACATGCGGTTCCTTACAGCAGCAGCAGCAACGAGCGACGACGGTGAAGAATTCTTCTGTATAATACCCCTCGATCAAGCTCGTCGCTGAAGCACTGCAATGGCGGACAGATTCAGGCCGAGCAATTCGCGGAGGAAGGAGGAGGTGGAGGAAGAGGACAAGACGATGGATCTCACCCTCCGACTGGGAACGCCGAAGGAGACGTCGGGCACCGCCGCAGATCAGCCACCGTCCCAACAATTCTGGCAACCGCACGGAGGCGCGGTGGCAGTTGGCAGAGGAGTCGCCATCTGGCCGGCGGCGATAATTCCGGTGGTGGCGGTGCAGTTCCCGCAGGGGTTCGTCCCCGTCTACAGGAGCCCCCGCAAGCGGCCGAATCCCGGCGGCGAGCCGCGAGATGAAAATCGGGTCTGCGAGAATTGTGGGACACGCAGAACCCCTTTATGGAGGAAAGGTCCTAAAGAACAGGTATTCAGATCTGCTTCAATTTTCCGATTTAGGGTTTAGCTGTTCAGAATTAGGGTTTTCATTGCTGGAATTATGGTTTTCCGATTTGATTAATTGTGTTTTTGAACGATTTTGTGTTCAGACGAACCTTTGCAACGCATGCGGTCTCCGAAACCAGAGGAACTAACGGTGCGGCAGAGAGCGGCGGCAACTGTTGTGTACGGATCTGGTCCGGCGAGGGACTTCTGCCGGCTTATGATTTTTTTTATAATTTTAATTGTAATTAAATCAAGGGTTTTTGTTAGTCATTTGAATTTGTACTTAAGTAGAAAATAATAATATTTTATTATTGAGTGGAACTGTGTAAGATGATTTTGATATTTTTATTTTTTTGTATATTTTATATAAAAATTAATTGTACTGTGTAATAAATATTTTTAATTTATATAAAAGTTAAAGAATATTTTGATATTATTATATTATTATTTTTAATTGTATTGTGTAATTATATGTTTTTAATTAAAAAAAGTATAATTTCAAAAAATTCACAATAGTAAAAATAATGCTTTGAGTTTGGAGGGAAATGTTTCATTTATAATTAAAAATTAAAAATTATTTAGATTTGTTGTGTATTATAGTTGCAAAATTCAAAATTTAACATTGCAATTCTTAGATCTATTCAATTTTGAGAATTCTCAACGATACCAAAATGTAGCACCTTTAAATTACATCAATTAATTTCAATAACCATTAGTCATTTTCATACAATGCGGAATAAAATAGATAACAATAATTTTCTCTTAAGTTTTGTATACATAACATTTTATACATTCAACTTCTAACAAATTACTATTGTGTTTTTTTTTTTTTTTTGATAGAGTTGTTATTCATTAAAAATGACCAAAAACCCTGAATAAACTTTATAGTACTAAATTAAATTAATCTGCCTCAACAATCAAATACCGACAAATAATATTTCTAAAAAAATATTGAATACAAAAAACTCCTAATAAGAACATATGTACAATATGTACTATTATATTTTCTCTGTCTCAATTCAAAGTATCATTTTTATCATTTTAGATCGTTACACTTCAAAGCATTCATTTTTTATTTTTGAAAAAATAATCATACACTAATACCAAAATATCCATAACTTCTACTTAAATTACAATTTTACTATTACACATACAATTACTCTATATATAAAGTCAAGAGGTAAAAATACAAAACCTCTTACACACTTCCACTAACTAATAAAATACTATTATTTCTTAATCTACTATAAAATCCCAAATGACCCTTTTTATTTGGGACGGAGGGTTAATATATTTTCAAAATTTTCAAATCGATTTTAATATTCTTTCTAAAAAAACTCAATCCAATTTAATTCTAAAATTAAAAAAAAAAAATCAACTCAAATTTTAAAATTTAATTTTATACGAGTCAAATATAACTTTGAGGGTGTGTTTGTTTGTGGGTTTTAGTTTTTGGGTTTGGGTTTTTGAATAGTAGAAAGTTAAATTTAAATAGTTATTTGATGTGATATAAATAAAAATTAATGTGATAAAAAAAAAAATTGTTTAATATTATATATTTTAATGGATTGATCCATAAAAATAAATATTGTAAATAGTACATAATAATAAGAATAAAATCCGATAAGCTCAGTGGGTAGGTACAATACAACAACATTAATAAATAAAAAATAAATAAGTAACCGCCTAACCAACGTCACCAAATACTTTATTGATGATATTAAGTTGTGATGTTTATCATGATGTAATAATAAATAAATAAATAAATAAATTTAAATTTTTATTTAATTAGTTTGATTGGGAAAGAGGACATTTGAAACTAACTAATTTTACAAAAAGATTAAATGTAATTCATGTGTTACAATTCATTAATGTTTTGGTGTTTAATTAGTATTTAAAAATAATAATAATTACTATTTAATCTACATAATTTTTTATAAAAATATAATTCTATTTTATTTTTTAATACCATATTCAAATGATTGTTAAAAATAATCACTGAAACAATACACTTGTTGTGACTTAGATATATCGTAAACCGATGAATAGATATTAAATAAATTTAAAAATAATAATGATTAAATGATATTTTATATATGGCAAATAATACAAGTTCCAGTTAAAAATGTTAATAGATAGATTGGGCTATTATTATAATATTACAATACTGTTATTCTCAATATGTACAAAATGTTACATATCTCGTGTCTTTAATCAATTCTAACGATCCAATAAAAATATCTTAAATTTTTTCATATATAAACATTCCCAATCAAACATATTATTAATGGATTGGGCCATAAAAAAGTTATATATATTATAAATAGTAAAAAAAAATAATAATAATACTAATAATAATAAAATAAATAAATAAATAAATAAATCCGATAAGCTCAATTGATAGGTATGGTACGGATGCAACAACACTAATAAAGAAGAAAATAAATAAATAACTGTCTAGCCAACGCTCCCTGTGTCTTTGTGTCAGCCACCAAATATTTTATTGATGACAGTGCTTATCATGATGCCATAGTAACAAATAAATAAATAATTTTAAATTTTTATTTTTATTTAATTAGTTTAGTCAATAGAGAGATATCTGAATTAACTTATTTTAGGTTGTTTCTTCCAAAATAGTAAAAAAAATTATTTGAATTGGTATAACTTTTTTATGTAATATTTTTTTAAAAATGTACTCATTGGATATGAATTTTTAATATATTTATGGTTTGTTATTTTTTTCTCTCAACATACCTAAGTCTAAATTAAACGCAAACATATTAGTTTCTAACATTTATATACAAATTAATTAAATTAAAATCAATCATAATGTACACATATATATAAATTTGCAATGCATTTTTCATAACATATTAATTTAATTAATATTAGAACAAGATGTGTGTTTGTTTTGTATTTTGATTTGAAGAAAAATTATTTTATGTGAGAGTATAATGAATTATGTAGGTAATATAAAAATAATGAGTACGTGTAATATATTAATTTTTTCGAAAAATATATTGAAAAATTTTCACAAACCAAACAAACCCTTAATTTTTCTCTAAAAAATTTAGATTTTTTAAAAGAAAATACTTTAGATCCAACTTATTTTTTGGCACATACTAACTTAGAATATGACATATAATTAGATCGATCATATATATATATATATATACAATATCAAGATCATTTACATTCAATTATTGGGATTGTTTAAACTCGATCAATTATAGCATTGATATTATCTGAATTCGACCAACATTAATTTAATGCGAAAAAGCCAAAATCGAGAACATACAATATGCACCGTACCCGATTATATTTGCGATAAAATTGCACGTAAATTTTAAAAAATTGCATGATTCGTCCAATCGAGATAACTTCATTTTTCTTCTTTGTATCGAATCAAAAATTTAAAATAAAAAACAATGGCATAAAATTATAAAGAAACCTTTTTGCTTATAAAAAAAAAATAATAATAATAAATCCAATTACATTAAAAGAGGGTTATAGCAAAACTTAATGGGGGATTTACCTAGTCACTTTATAGTTTTAGAAGAAGAAAAAACTCTAGCAATAGCACGAAGCTTAATTTAGACCCAACTCTATTTAAATTTGTAGAAACAACGTTGAAGTTAGTGAAAAATGATTTTCTGCAAATCGTTTCACCGAATTGGGGAAGAAGACAAGATGTGCAGCTACTCATTAATGGCGCCCACCCCTCACCACCGCCTATATATACCCCTCCCTACTTCTCCATGGACTCTTACAGCAGCAGCAGCAGCAACGAGCGACTGCAACGAATTCTATATAATTTCCCCTCCATCAAGCTCGTCCTGAATCACTACAATGGCCGACAGCCCCAGCAACTCACGGAGGAAGGAGGAGGATGAGACCATGGATCTCACCCTCCGCCTGGGAATGCCAAACCAGGCTGAACCGGCGGAGGAGAATAAGCCCGACGAGACGTCGGGCACAGCCGCCGATGAGCCACCGTCACCGCCGCCGCCGCCGCCGCTGCCGATTCTCTACAATATTTTCAATAATGAGCAAGGGCATACACCGGCGACCGCCTCCGGGAACGTAAGAGTTTGCACGTGTGATGCACCTGCGCTGATACGTGAAGATTTCGTGTTTGTTTGTGTTTTTTTTTTTTGATAAATTTGTATTTTTGGGTGAAAATTAGGTCACTTTCGGCCAACAGTTCTGGCAACCGCACGGAGGCGCGGTGGCAGTTTCCGGTGGAGTCGCCATCGGGCCAGCGGCGGCAATAATTCCGGTAGTAGCGGTGCCGTTCCCGCAGGGGTTCGTCCCCGTCTACAAGAGCCCCCGCAAGCGGCCGAATCCCGGCGGCGACGCCGGAAATGAGAACCGCGTCTGCGAGAACTGTGGAACCCGCAGAACCCCTCTGTGGCGGAACGGTCCGGAAGGACAGGTAATCAGATCTGCTTCAATTTTCCGATTTAGGGTTTAGTTGCCGGAATTAGGGTTTCCGATTCGGTTAATTGATTTCTGGTCGATTTTGTGTACAGGACCTCTGCAACGCTTGCGGTCTCCGCTCGTCCCGCGCCATCCGGAAGAAATAACGGAGCGGCGGCGGGTGTACGGATCTCCTCCGCTGGGGACTGCAGCCGGGACTGGCCGCCGGGATTTTTCTTTTTTTTTTTTTTTTAAATGTAATTAAATCGATTGTATTTTTGTTGTTGCAAATAAAAATTTAAAATTATATGGATCTGTTGTGTATAACATTGTAATTCTTGGATATATTCAAATTTGAGAATTTTCAATACTACTAATGTAGCACATTTAATTAAATCAGTTAATCTCAATAATCAATAGTCATTTTTATAAATAAAATAGATAGCAATATATTTTTCTGAGTTTTAATTGATTCAGTAACAAATATATATATATATATATATATACTTTGGCATAGATGTTTATTGAATTCTTTTTCAATTTTTTAATTAGATATAAAAGTAATACTTTGGAGTTTTTTAAAGAAATTAAGAAATTATAAATTTGTTTTCAAGTTTTTTTTTTTTTCTTTTATGTAAATATGATTTTTAAACTTTCAAAAGGTAACAAATTAATTAATATTAGTTTTCTCTAAAATTGTTATTTACTAAAAATGAACCAAAAAAATTAATAAATTTTATAATATTGAACTAAAATAGTATTGTCGTAGCAGCAACTACCGTTATAATAATTATGATATTGATCAGGAATTTTCGAAGATAGAAAGTAAAGAATGAACGGTTGCGGAAAAATCCGAAAAAAGTAAAATACGACAGTATACGTACAAATTTTTTAAGTAGCGATCAATGTCAACGGTTTAGATATATATTGCATTCGATACTAATATATTTTAATGGAATTCTTTCCAAGTATTTGTTAAACATTAAATGTTAATAAATGAGATAAATTTAACTTTATTACAACGTCGGAATTAATATATCATATACGAAAAAAATAAAATCATGTCCCTATTCAAAAATTTTTGATTACAAATATAAAGTACGATATGAAGTTCGAAGAAAAGAACAACAATTTAGATTTAAAATATTCAAAGTCATATTGTCTATTATAATTATAATTCAAAAATATATATATATATTTTTTAATCTATTGTAATTGGATTTGTGGATCAATTCACGGTAAAACAGGCAGAAGTTTAATTTAACTCGGTATGTTTTCTTAAGTAGATATGTATTAATTTCTTGCAAATATATTATTTGGAATGTTTGCTTTAGTACAATCTTGTGATTTGCCTATGTATATTATATAGTGACTTAGATATATTATTTTTTGTGAAAAGAAAATAACATATTCTTATAATCATTGATGGAATTAAAAAGGTTCCCCAAGTTCAGATTTATTTATCTATTCTCCTCTTATTTATATGATTTTAAATTTATAATTAAAAATATTAATTCATGGATTGTGCCATAATTATATTGTAATATTACTATTATTTTTAATATTAGAAAAATGATACCTATGTCGAGGGTTTTAACCCATTTTAACAAATTCAATAAAAGCATATCTTAAATTTTTCAATAGATAATCAGTCTCAATCAGAAATTTTATTAATGGATTGGACCATAAAAATATTTATATTATCAATATATACAAAAAAATAATAATAATAATAATAATAATAATAATAATAATAATAACTTGATCAATATGTTCGAGGAAAACTGATAAGTTCAAATGATAGGTACGGATGCAACAATATTAATGAATAAATAAATAATGGACTGACCAACGCTCTCTGTCTCTGTGTCAGTCATCAATAGTTCATTAATGATATTCAGTTGTGATACATATCATAATATAAAAATATATACATAATTTCAAATTTTATTTTTTTAATAAATTTAGTCAAATGAGGTGATATTTGAAACTAACTGATTTTACCAAACTACTCAATGCAATTCATGCGTTACAATTCATTAATGTTCTGCTGTTGCTGCAACTGTTTCAATTATGTCAACCAGCAGTTGTTATTGGTTTAAAGCTGTTTTTTTCTTTGTTTTTAATATTTTAATTTATAATTAGGTTGTTTTTTTCGAAAATAGTAAAAAAAAAAAAAATTATTAGAATAGGTATTTTTTTAAGCAATATTTTTTTAAAAAATATACTTGTTGGATATGAGTTTTTAATATATTTATAGTTTGTTATTTTTTTTTCTCACAATATCTAAGTTTAAATATGAATTTTTAAGGGCAAACATTTTAGTTTCTACCATTTAAACACAAACTAAGGGTTTGTTTGTTTTGTGTTTTGGTTTGAAGGGATACTTTTTATGTGAAGTATAAAGAATTGTGTAAATAATATAAAAATAATTAATGTGTAATATATTAATTTTTTTGAAAAAATATGCAAAAAAAAAAAAATTGTGTAAAAGATTACATCCATTAAAACCAATCATAATGTACAAATATATAAATTTGCAATGCATTTTTCATAACATATCAGTTTAATTAATATTATAACAAGATATGTGTTTGTTTTGTATTTTAGTTTGAAGGAAAATTATTTTATATGAGGTATAATGAATTGTATAGGTAATATATATATATGTATAATGAGTGTGTAATATATTATTTTTTTGGAAAAATATATTTGAAAATTTTTCACAAACAAAATTAACCCTTAATTTTTCAGTAAAAAATTTAAATATATAAAAAAAGTACCTTAGATCCAATTTTTCTTTTGGCAGATACTAATTTTGAATATGACATATAATCAGATTGATCATATATATACTATCGAGATCATTTACATTCGATTATTAAGATCGTTTAAATTCGATCAATTATAGCATTGAGATCATCTAAATTCGACCGACATTAATTTAATGCGAAATATCCAAAATAGAGAATGTACGATGTGCACTGTATCCGATTATATTTGCGATAAAAATACACGTAAATTTAAAAAATTTGCACGATTCGTCCAATCGAGATAATTTATTTTTCTTTTTTGTATTGAATCAAAATTCTAAAATCAAAAGCAATTACATAAGTCTATATGCAACTAGCAATAACAAGAAGCTTAATTTAAACCTAAGTCTATATGCAACTTCATCTTCAACCTCAGACGGGAAAATTAAATTAATAGAAACAACTTTAAGGTCTGTGAAAAATGATTAATTTTACAGGATTTTCTGCAAATCATTTCACTGAATTGGGAAAGAAGACAAGATGTGCAGCTATTTTTTAATGGCATCCACCTCTTACCATCGCCTGTATAAAACCCTTCCCCTTTCTTCTTGGACTTCTTTACAGTAACTCACAATTATATTTTTTTTATCTATTATAAATAGAATTGTAGGTCAATTCACATTAAAGCGAGCTAAAACTAGATCGTTCAATTTAACTCAATGGTAGATCAGAGTTGATAGAAGGTTACGACGTAAAATCCAAAGAAAAGAACAACAATATAGAATTAAAATATTGAAAATCGTATTGTAAATTATAATTATAACTTACAAATATGTTTTTTTACATATTTTAAATAAAATTGTGAGTCAATTAATATTAAAGAGGGCCAAAATTAAATCTCTCAACTTAACTCAATTATGAACTTCATAGAGCTACGACATAAAGTGTGAAGAAAAAAACAATAATATATAAGGTTAACATATTGAAAATGATTGTAGATTATAAATATATATAACTCACAAATATATTTTCTTATTAATTGTAAATAGAATTGCGAACCAATTCATATTTTATTTGGGCAACCTCCACCAACAGTTCTGGCAACCGCATGGAGGCGCGGTGGCAATTGGCGGAGGAGTAGCCACCGGGCCGGCCGGTGGCAATAATACCGGTGGTTGCGGTGCCGTTCCCGCAGGGGTTTAACAAATACTTCGAAAGATTTCCATTAATATATATTATTATTGAATAGGGTTATATCTAAATAATTGACATTGATTGCTACTTTTAAAATTTGTATATATATTGTCGTACTTTTGTTCTATTCTTGATTTTCAGCAACTTAATTCTTTACTTTCTATCTTCGAAAATTCCTGATCAACGTCATCATTGTTATTTGTCGGTATTTGACTATTACAACATACTATTTTAGCTCTCTACTATAAAGTTTAATTTATTATTATTTTTTTCGGTTCTTTTTAGTGAATGACAATTCTATCGGAAAAAAAACAATAGTAATTTGTTACATGTTGAATGTATAAACATCATATTGAAAAAAAAAATAATTCAGCTAAACTTGAAAACTATCTTGTAGTTTTTAATTTCTTTCAAAAATCCAAAATATTACTTTGTATCTAATGAAAAAATTGATAAAGAACTCAATAAGCATCAACGCCAATTTTATTGTATTTTATTTTCGTTATTGAATCCAAAACTCAGAAAATAGAGGTATATATTTTATTCTAAAAATGACTGTTGGTTATAGAAATTAACTGACTTAAGTAAAATGTACTACATTAATAGTATCGAAATTCTCAAATTTGAATATATCAGAGAATTGCAATGTTAAATTTAAACTTTTACAACTAAAATCCACAGCAAATCGAGATAATTTTAATTTTCATTTATACATTGATTAAAAAAAAGAATCTCGATTTAATTACGATTAAAATTCAAGAAAATCCCGGGCAGTCATAATCGGGAGATGAAGTCCTCCGGCCGAGCAGATCCGTTGACCCGCCACAGTGGCCGCCGCTCTCCGTCGCCGTCAGTTCTTTCGATTGGCACGGGACATGCGGAGACCGCAAGCGTTGCAGAGAATCTGAACACAAAATCGACCAAATAAACAATTAACCATTCGGAAAACCCTAATTCCGGCGACCAAACCCTAAATCGGAAAATTGAAGCAGGTCTGATTACCTGTCCTTCCGGACCTTTCCTCCATAAAGGGGTACTGCTTTTTCCGCAGTTTTCGCAGACCCTGTTGTCGTTTGCCCCTTCGCCGCCCGGATTCGGCCGCTTTCGGGGGCTCCCGCGGAACGGCACCGCCACCGCGGGTATTATCTCCGCCGGCCCCGTGGCGGCTCCTCCGCCGACGGCCAGCCCGCCTCCATACGGTTGCCAGAACTGTTGGTGGA